GTCTGTCTCCAGCTCCACATTTTCCATTCCTGGTGAGCTTGGGAGGAAAGAGATTGGTTATAAGAACACATCATGAGATGAAGCTACCTTTTACAGGGTTCTCTCAGTAAAGAATCTCAATTTTGGCTGCACCTTAGAATCACCCGGGGAGCTTTTTAAACTCCCAAGGCCCAGGCCATGCCTCAGACCAATCAAATAAGAATCTCTAGAGAGGGATGCATACATTGGTATTTTTCTAAAAGGCTTCCCAAGGTGATCCCAAAGTGCAGCTAAAGTTGAAAGCCATTGTTCCAAGAATATTTATTCCCCTCTCTCTGTAAGCTAAAAAAGACAATATTTTTCCATCAGTGATGCTGAGTTAGAAATGATTGGGGTTTTCATTTTAAGCACTGTCTACCTGATTCATCCATCTACCTATGCATCCATCCATCAATCCATCCATCAGTCACATATTTTATTGGGTGTCTGCTCTGATGTGCCAAGGGCAGTGCTGGGTGTTTATTATTGGGCAAGACAAGGTCCCTCTTCTTCAGGATGCTAAAAACTAGACTAGGGGATCAGCCAAATAGACAGGAGATGCCAATGACTTGTGGTGAGGGATGTGACTAAGCCCAGGGCGCTGGAGACAGAGAAGAGGGGGCTTCTATCTCAAGAGGAGCAACAGGGCTTCCCAGAGGAAGTGGTGTTGAAGCTGAGCCTTGAAGATCCGGAAGGATTTGGCCAGGCGAATAGGTGGGTGTGACAGAGGAAGACGCATCAGCAAGATGAGAATGGAAATCCCAGGCACCCTGAGTAGCTTGAGCTGACTGAACACAGAGCAGGAAGCCCTGAGGCACCAGGTGGAAGAGGCCAGCAGAGTCACATCACAGGGGCCTCAGGGGTCCTGCCGGAGTTTGGAACTCACCCCAGGGGGTAGTGGGAAACCTCCGGAGAGATTTCCTCAGGGGAGTAGTCAAACCATATTCACTCCAAGTTGACCCCCAGGCTTAGCTGTAGTGGAAGCAGGAGTTTGGCTGCCCTTCTGAGAAAAGATTAGACCTGCCAATCTCTTGCTGGTAAGGGTGACAGAGGAAGGATGTGTGTTCTTAACTGCTGTGACCCCAGTCTCAATGGTGACCCTGGATGTACCCTCAAGACCTCCTGGAAAATGCCCTAGGTCCCTTGGAAACAGGCAGCACCCCCACCCCCGCCCCAGATAACCTGACTTGTGCTCCTTGTTCTTTCTGGGTCTGAGGCAGAGGGGGAGAAGCTTAAATTTGGGGGGTCCGTCAGGACCCACCTTCAGCTTCTCCATTACAAACCATCTCTGTACCATCAGGGCAGACAAGTCACTTCACCGTTTGGAACCTTGTTTCCTCATCTGTGAGGTGGGGATGTTGTTGGCTTTTTTGCCACTGAGTCTTCGTGAGGCTGGACTTCCCAGGTGACGCTAGTGGTAAAGAACCTGCCAGCCAACGCAAGAGATGTAAGAGACACAGTTTTGATCCCTAGGTCTGGAAGATGGCATGACAACTCATTCCAGTATTCTTGCCTGGAGAATCTCATGGACAGAGGAGCCTGGCGGGGTCGCAAAGAGTCGGACAGGACTGAAGCAACTTAGTGCACACACATGCAAATAGTGATGCTTTCCCCACCTTCATCTGCTACGGGCACCTGGTCTCCTCCTCAACTTCAGAGCTTTGCTTCTATTGTAACACCAAGGACCAAGGGGCCAACGGAATCAGAAGTACTCAACCTCCACCTCCTTGGCCTCCTGCAAAACTGCATAGCAATCTCTCCCAGCCATCGCTTCCTCAGCCACAGCCTCCAGCTAACCTTGAACCGGGCTGTGCCCAGCTATCCTTACGGGACTATATATATAATATATACATATATATAGTATACTATATATATATATTTGTAGGAGCCAAGCAGGTCTAATTATTCCAACTCTCCATGCTAGACTGGAACTACATGGACATCTTTCAAATCCCAGCTTCTGTGCCCCCTACTGCCCATTACTAATACCCCTGATTATATTCAGAGCCAGTGCAGTTACAGAATCCTTTCATGTCCTCTGGCTCCCATTTAGATCTCTCAGAATAAAAGCCCTTATTTTGAAAATGGCCTGCAAGGTCCCCCACAGCTCCAGACCCTCCACTGCTCACTGACCTCAGTGCCTGCTATTCTTTGCCTAGCTCCTTCCATTCCAGTCACACCCACCTCCGTACTGCCAAGCATACTCTCACCCCAGGGCCTTTGCACCTGCTGTTCCTTCAGCTGGAATGCCTTTCCCCAAATATCTGCAGACCCTCTCCCTCACTTTCTTCAGGGTTCTGCCTTTCTACCTTGTGTGAAATGGCAACCCTTCACCCCTAGCATTCCCTGTTCCCCTCCACCCTTTTCTTCATAGAGCTTATCAACAACTGACATATATTGAGTCTTCTATTTGTTATCTCCTCAATGCGGGAGACCTGGGTTCGATCCCTGGGTCGGGAAGATCCCCTGGAGAAGGAAATGTCAACCCACTCCAGTATTCTTGCCTGGAGAATCCCATGGTCAAAGGAGCCTGGCGGGCGACAGTCCCCGGGGTCGCAAAGAGTCGGACACGACTGAGCGACTTCACTTCACTTCACTTCTTCTACTATCCACTAGAATATAATTTCCATGAGGTCAGAGTAGAGTTTGTTCAGTCATATCCTGAGCAGCAGAAACAGCATCTGGCATGTAGCAGGTGTCAGATAAATATTTGTTGAATGAACGAATGCCTAAACAAACCATTACCTCATTCGAAACTCGCAATGGCCCATTTGACAGATGAAAAGTCCTAACGCCCAAGATCCCATCTATGCTCACACAGGGAGTAAAGACGAAGCTAGCCTTGGCCTCAGGCTCTCCTTCAGTCTGCTCACCGGCACATTCCTCTGCTGGCCAGAGATTTTCATACCATCAGGATTTCCCCTGACCTTTAGCCCAAGAGGAAATGATATTGCAACTGAAAGAATACCCAGAGGGCTGAGAGCTGGCAGCGAAGTCCCCAGCAGCTGCAGGGAGCGTGTGAGTGGATTCAGAGTTGGCCAGAAAGGCAGCGGACAGCAGGATGAAGGCATGCAAAAATATCCGCGCGCGCCTGGGCCACTGCCCGCGTCAGTCACCAGAGGGAAAGAGGTGGTCTGTGAGTCAGGAGTTGAGATTCAGGAGCAGCAGAGCAGTCTATCAGGGTTGTCTGGGGCCAGGGCATTAGGTTCCATGTTTAGGACCCTTCTTTGGGCAGCACTGGCAGCCTGTGACCTCTGTGACCTCTGGGGCACAGGAATCATCTTGAGCTTCTGACCAGGAAACTGTCTTGAGCCTTCAGCTTCCCTTATGGGCTGGCGACCCTGGGCTGATCATTTTGTGTCTCAGTTTTCTCCTCTGTAAAATGGGGTTACACTTCTGCCATGGCGTTTTTTAAGCAAAGTCAAAGGGGAGATGGAGAAACTGTTTTGTAAGCTGTGCTTTTCTAAACAAATGCAAGAAGAAATAGTTTTGCACCAGTAGTTTGTTCTGTAGATGTTTTGATGTGGTTTTGTAGTCTCCTGGACACAGGATTTGTCCTTAAATCTGCTTTGTGGTATCCTGACCTACCCAGCTGCTCAACCACCGAATGCAGGAGACACTAGGGGCCCCTCTCAGTCCCTCATGTCTAAACCATCAGCCTCTCCTGTTGCTCTGCCTCCAACTATTAATGTATTCCTAATATCCCTGCGGATCCAGCCTCCCTGCCTGTCTACCATGGTCAGCACCTCGACACCACATGCCCATTCCCGAACTAGATTCTTTTCCAGATCCTCCTTCTGCTGGGATGCACTGGCCCAGATCTCCATGTGGCCGGCTTCTTATCTTCCAAGTCTCAAGCCAAATGTCACCTCCCTGAAGGGTTTTCTCTGACCACTTTCTAAGAGGCTGCTCCAGTCCACTTTATCACATGCTGCATTTGGTCTTCAGAGCATTTTCTGAACCTGCAATTATATCATTCCTTTATTTTCTTACCTGCCATTTATCGTCCAGCTGCCAATTTGGAACCGATGCACCATCTGTCTTGTTCACTGCTGGATCCCTGCTCCCTGGAGCTGTACCTGGTTCACAGTAGGTCTAATAGTGGACAATGATAGACCATCTTCTTGGTGGATCAGGTGGGAACCTGGTTTCTAGATGATACTAACCAATGAGATTGTGCATCACTGCTCTTGACTGAGGCAGTGTCTGCAGAGTCTGATTTATAAAGTGAACAGGGAAGTTTCTAAAAGGAGACTCATCCCAAAGAGGAAGCCAGGTTACCTAAGTTTAAGGCGAGGCAGCAGCCACTGTCACATCACACAGTCAGGAGCGGCACTGGTGACTTCTCCCTGCATCCCACACCAGGACTTCAGAATCAGAGAGCATCCTTTGTGTACTGGGCTTTCTCAGGGAGGCGAGGGTGAAGAAGCTGACGATAGTATTCATCCGTTCACTTTGTATATTTCACTCCAAGTACCCTGAACTGATTGAGGAAAGGCTACTTTATTAATAATTTGTGAACTATGTGCATGGTTATAGGAAAGCAAGTTCTTTTTAGTTTCAGCATTGAGAACAGTCCCCTGCATGTGGTAGGAGCCTGGATATCCTTTGTTAAACAAATCTTTGGGGACTTCCCTGGTGGTCTTGTAGTTAAGAATTCACCTTGTAATGCATGAGTCAGGGAACTAAGATCCCCACATGCCACGCAGCAACTAAGCCTAAGCGCCCCGGAGCCCTTGCACCACACCCAGAGAGTCCATGCACCACAACGAAAGATCCCACACGACTCGAATAACACCAGAAGCATCTAAATGAATATATATTTAAAAGAAAAACAAACCAAAAAAAAAAAAGCCCCACAAATCTTTACTGATCCACTGGTGATTCTGATCATCCCCTAGGTGACCAGGTTTGTCCCCTCATTTCATGGTGCTGATGCAGAGAAGGCTAGTATGTCCTCATGTGTCTCTTTGTTCCTTTAGGTGGGCTTGGAGAGCAGCCATCTGGGAACTGGCCGAATGCTACAGCCACGAATGCCAGCAGCGAAGAAGCCAGAGAGGGTAATGTGAGACCCCACCAGGCCTGGGGGTACTTTCTTCTTTCAGTTGTTGTAAATTTCACATAACATAACATTTTTAACCATTTTAATGTGTCCCATTTCATGGCATTAATTACCTATACAATGTTGTGCCACCATCACCACTATCTAATTCCCGTTACTCCCCGTATCTCTCCTGCCTCTCTGATGCTGGCTTTGGGAACCTCATGTGTGTTAGCAGCTCAGCCATGTCTGACTCTTTGTGACCCCATGGACTGTAGCCTGCCAGCCTCCTCTGTCCATGGAATTCTCCAGGCAAGAATACTGGAGAGGGTAGCCATTCCCGTCTCCAGGGGATCTTCCTAACCTAGGGATCGAACCCCGGTCTCCGGCATTGCAAGCGGATTCTTTACCGTCTGAGTTACCAGGGCAGCCCTTTGGGAACCTTGTCTTGTACCTTTTACTTTCAACCTTAGTGAACTAGAAGCAGCAAAGACTGTAGGTGAGAGAGTGAGTCCTCTGGTTGAGTGAGGTGGGCCGGTTGCCAGAGAAAGGTATAAGGATGGGGTTTGGTTTCTCGGGGACTGGATAACCTCCAGTCAAACCCTATAGACTGGACTTGATTTTTCTCTCTGGTGCTTGGCTGGTGGGCTGAAGGCTCCGAGAATCGAGAGGTGGCATGATGAGGCTATGGGCACTGGCAGTATTACAGAATGAGTGGGCCGAAAAGGCAAGGAAGGAAAATAAAGCTGGAGTGGGGCCTGGGGAGGCAGGTGTAGAGTAGAGACCCCTGTGGGCTTCTCTTGGGGCGGGGGTGCTGTGGGAGTGGCTGGCTGTGGGCAGGGCCACTGTCAGCAGGGGTCTGCCTTGAGGTACCACCTCCGCCTGTCTGCACGCCAGCGCCCAGACACGCATGCGCTCTAAGAGATTCTAGCCTGGAGATTATAGGAGGCCCCTCACTGCAAGCATCTCACTTTGGACGAAGGTTTTCCTGTTCAGAAAGTGTGCCGGAAGAGAAAGGCTGCTGGGCTTGTGTCTGGTCTGCATCCTGAACGAATCAAGGTTATTGTCGACAATAGCATCTCTTCTATATAAAATCAACGCAGAGCAAAGGGAATCATTTAAAATGCTAGAATCCTGTGTTTTAGGGATGCCTCTGTAGAGATGAAATACAAATCATTGTTTGCTTTATATTATGTTTTTTCTTTAATGTTATTTTATAGTTTACACACACACACATATATATGTATAATTTCACGCTAATGTATATGATAAGTGTATGATAGCATCATATACTTTCATTAGTGTTGTGGATTTTTTCTTTTCCTTTTAATTTGGCTACCTTCTTCACTTCTTTTTTTCCACATATTACCACTTTCTCTTCACCAGGTTATGCATGCTAATAACTTTGAATGCACCCTTCCACGTGTTTCTCCATGCACATATATTCACATATACATTTATACAGAGATACACACATATATAAACATACATATAAACCCATAAACATATATACAGATATACTTTCTCATTGGTTAAAAAAAATGGGGTCATATTTGATACATTTTTTTAATGCATGTTTTTCTCAATCATTAATACTTCGTGGCAAACCTAAGACCCTTATTACAATTTCAGTTTATTCTTTTTTAAAATTTTATTTATCCACTTATTTATTTTTGCCTCTGTTGGATCTTCATTGCTGCTCTCAGGCTTTCTCTAGTTGCATCAGGTGGGGGCTACTCTCCAGTCGTGCTGCGTGCTCTTCTCATTGTGATGGCTTTTCTTGTTGCAGAGCACGGGCTCTAGAGCAAGTGGGCTTCAACTGTTGTGGCCCACAGGCTGAGTGGACCTGCCACAAGTGGAATTTTCTGGGAGCAGGGATCAAACCCATGTCCCTTGCACCAACAGGTGGATTCCCAACTACTGGACCACCAAGGAAGTCCTCAATTTATTTTTATTGTTATTGTTCAGTCACTCAGTTGTGTCTGACTCTTTGTGACCCCATGGTGTGCAGCACGCCAGGCTTCCCTGTCCTTCACCATCTCCAGAACCTGCTCAAACTCATGTCCATTGAGTCGGTGAGATGCCATCCAGCCATCTCATCCTCTGTCATCCCCTTCTCCTCCTGTCTTCAGATCTTTCCCAGCATCAGGGTCTTTTCTAATGAGTCGGCTCTTCGCATCATGTGGCCAAAGTATTAGAGCTTCAGCTTCAACATCATTCCTTCTAATGAATATTCAGGATTGATTTCCTTTAAGGTTGACCGGTTGGATCTCCTTGCAGTCCAAGGGACTCTCAAGAGTCTTCTCCAATACTATAGTTCAAAAGCAGAGTAGTTATTATTATTTAATTTGTATTTCTTATTCCTGGTGACTTTCAGCGTCTTTTATCTTCACCAGTTACTTGGGGGTGCACTTCTGTGAATCACCTTTTGCTGTCCTTGGGTCATTTTTCTCTTCGCTTGACCCCCTCTTATCCATCTGACCTCATTTAGAGAGAGGCAGATTCTTCTCCCACTCCCCACCTCTACCATTTAACAAACGTATATCTGATTCTTAGTCACGTGAAAAATCTGTATTTTTCTGCTTTGCATTCTTGAAGGTATTTTGACTTAGGTGTTTTCAGGCTCCTAGACACCTGATAAACTCAGTGTCACTTCATTTTGGCCACAGATGACCAGCCCTTAATGGTAAAAGTGATGCATAGGGTATGAGGGTGAAACCAGAGGGATTTGCCATTACTCTTAGATAGCGCAGATGGTTAAGAATCTGCCTCTAATGCAGGAGACCTAGGTTTGATCCCTGGTTTGGGAAGATCCCCCGGAGAAGGGAACAGCCTACCCACTCCAGTATTCTTGCCTGGAGAATTCTGTGGACCGAGGAGCCTGGAGGGCTATACTCTTGGGGTCACAAAGAGTTGGATATGACTGAGCAACTCACACTTTCACTTTTCATTTGCAGTGATGTAGACCCCATGTCTAATTTAAGTGATTTATTTTTGCATTAAAAACTATCCCCAAACTTAGTGACTTCAAACTGTGATTTGTTATCTTGCATGATTCTGTGTGTTGACTAGGCTTCGTGGGGTTGGTCTTTGGCTGACGTCATTCAGCCAAAGTCGTTCACTTGACTACATTCATCTAGCAGCTGAGTTGGGTTGAGAGGTCCAGAAAAAGCTTTAGTCACATATTTAGCACCCCAGCGTGCCTCCACACGGCTCCTCTCTGAGTGGACCTTTGCCATGGAGTTGTATGTGCTGTGCTTAGTCTGTCAGTCGTGTCCAACTCTGGGACCCCATGGACTGTAGCCCGCCAGGCTCCTCTGTCCATAGGCTTCTCCAGGCAAGAATACTGGAATGGTTGCCATGCCCTCCTCCAGAGGATCTTCTCACCTGGGATCGAACCCAGGTCTGCCGCATTGCAGGCAGATTCTTTACCATCTGAGCCACCAGGGAAGCCCAAGAATACTGGAGTGGGTAGCCTATCCCTTCTCCAGGGGATCTTCCCAACCCAGGAATCGAACTGGGATCTTCTGCATTGTAGGCAGACTCTTTACCAGCTAAGCTACCAGGGAAGCCCTAACTTAGGTGGTCTAACTAAGTTGTTAACTTAGTTGTCTAACTAAGATTTCTTTACAGATGGCAGCTGGCTTCCCAGAGAAAGGAAACAGAACCCACCAGTCCACTTAAGGCTGGGACTCAGAACTCTCAGAAAGCTACTTCTGCCACATTGTATTGATCAAAGAAAGCCAAAGGGCCAGCTCAGACTCCAGAAGAAGAAAATAGATTCCACTTCTTTGTGTGAGAAGTGGTGTGAGCTTACAGAAATGAGAGCTGTGGCCATATTTAGAGACCATCTACTGTCTTCCCTCACTGTATCTTGTCTGCTCAGCAATAGCTATTAGGATTTTTAATATTTGCTAGTTTGTTGGGTGTAAAATGACCCAATCAAATAAACTTGGTCAGGCACACTTGGGTTTGCATCCCAGCTCAGCCACTTTGTAGCTACAATCTTGGATAAGCTATCCAGCTCCTCATCTAAGGTTTGGCAAAGATTAGAAACAATATTTATGCAAAGCACATAGCCATGTGTCTGGAACATAAGAGGTACTCAATGAGCGTAGCCCTTCCACTTCTTTCTCTCCACCTTCACTTCCAAGAATTATATGACCCAACACTGGAAGTGCGTTGTCCACCTCTGGACTGGGATTTCACAGCTGTTCAACAGCTGCACAGAAACACAAATAAAGAGGACAGGAAGGAATAAAGCTGCCGCCACCCATTAAAATTCTGCCTCTGGTTGGGTTGTACACGGTATTCACATTGTGATGAGAGATCTTCTCCGGTGTTTTAGGGAGGATGACAGCACTGCCCCACCCACACCCCACGCCCCTGCAGCTGGCTACATCCACAGTCTGCAGCCCCTCAGATGACCCTGGTGTGTTTGAAGAGGATAATGTCAAGGTTAGGCCAATCTTTCCAGTCTGAATCCCTCCAGTATTATCACAGCAGACGAGTAAGTCTTTAAGCATCCAGGGTGAGCTGGAGGAGGAAGGAGACCTCCAAGGTAGGTGAGGATGGTCCCTTCTAACATGTTCCTCCAGCCCTCCCATCTGTCCCTCCAGGGCACTGTCAAGTGCCAGACTGGGTACCTCTTGTTTTGTTTGAATTAAAGATAAGACAAGTTGTGTCAATCTCAGATTCCCCTTTAATCACAACCCGCCCTTCCGCCACCCCCCAGAAAAAGAGACTGCCCAAGCAGGATAAACGATCTGAAGGGAGCCTCTGGTTGGTCAGCTGCAGCAGCAGGTTTATTTCCTGGCATTATGTGGCTCTCTTCAGCCTTGACGGCGGGGATTTGTGCTTCCAGCCTTGGGGAGTGCTGGGGGGCTTGGGGAACTACTCACTCGGCACCCCCCTGGCAGACCCTTTGGTCTGAGGAGCCTTCCTTCTCTGGAGATGAGAGCTCAGCATACATTTGGGGGCTGATAATGGGATTAATGAAATGAAGTGTGTAACTCTTCC